TAACACCGTGCAACGCCAAATCCATCGTGACAGACCTACGCTTACCTGTGCCGAGACCGGCGTGGTATATAGCACGAACCTGACGAATCTGATGAGTAGATAGACCAACGGCATCAATGCCGCACATGACAGTGGGCCGCAAGTTAGCGTTAACAATACCTGCAACCTTTGCACCAGCCTTCTTTATCTTCAGTAGGCGTCGGGCCTTAAACCTGGCCTTTTTTAATCGACCAGTGAGAACGGTACGAGAACGACGCCCCTTACGTAACTGGTAGTCAATCCCGAGGTTGCGACACGAGAACTTGACAGCACCAGCGAGACGTGGAGTTTCAGCTGCGATGCTCTGGGCCAACTGGTGGTCGGCAGCCAAGAGCACGATTTTCTTCTCGGAGAGCGGTAAACATGCCGAGAAAGTCAGCTTGCTCATCAAAAGGTGCGACGCATCGGGACCGATTTTGAGCAACTCCCTCTCCGAGCCTATCCCCAGGACCTGGACGTCGTCGGCGACGAGGCCGAGGTGCATATTAGGATATGGCTGACGAAACGAACCCAGCTCGGGCATCAATAAAATACGCATAAACAGATCGGCAAATGAGCAACCTGCCACAATAGTCTTGCCAGCTCTGACCCACTCCCCAACGATTCGCCGCAGCGTGACAACACGTGGGGAACGATACAGAGACAGGAAAACCCTCAAGAGAGCAGCATGAAAGCCAAACTCACTAGCACGTCTTATGGGAAGTTTATGGCGAACCTGTTCAAAAGCCTTCTGGATGTCGAGCAATAGTGCAAACACAGACAAACCTTTGGCGGAAGCCAACTCCGTGAGCACGCCCATGCACCACACACATGCTTGGCAGGAATGACCGCGCACACCAAACACGTACGGACGAGGATGCAAACGCGTCCACATAGCACCGTACGCGTGCCTGAAGAACCGAGAGAACGTGCGCACACACGTCGTGAATAGGGCAACCGTGCGCTCGCCACCATCAGCCTTCGGGATCAAATTCATGGTGAACACAGCGAGAATGGGAGGAAATCTACCCAATCGCAGGACAGCACGCCAGATACCAAACAAGGCAAGAAGAGATGAGTCAGAAAGCAGCGCATGATGACGTGGATGCATAGTGTCCAGTCCGACCAACGTACGAGCTTTGTACCTGCGACACATCTGCCTGGACTTGTCCAAGGACGGGTGGGGCAAGGACGCGAGGCAGTCGGGCGAAAACGGCGGGAAATCCAGGGCCAGGCAAGGATCATCAGGGTGCTCCTGCGTGGGCTCCCAGATAGCATGCCAAACTCCTTCTCGCGCCTTAAGATGATGCTGCGGCGTACCGACTGGGGCATCTGGGTTCGGGGTGGTCTTGTCAAAGGAAGCCCAATCCATAGATCCCCCGACGAAACGGTGCGCAGCAGAACCCCCTTCCTGGACAGATCGGATGGCCCATGATGTCCAGGATTGGTATCTCTGTGCAGATGCTGCACGTTCCAGAGCAGATGCGGACTCAGCCAAGACGCCCCGCAGCCAATCTATGGAACCAAGATCTAGGGTACCAAGCCTGTTGACATAGTACCTCCACCATGACCAATCGGGGGGAGGACCACCATCACGCTGCGAAGGACGATACCGCCGCAGGGCTTGACATGCTCTCCGATAAGCGGGCCACAACTGCTTGTCAGCAAGATATAGAAGAGTGCCAAGACGGTTGGAGAGATACCTCCAGAGCCTTCTTTCATATGACGAAAGCACACCTCCAGGAAACAGTCTGGAAACCGAAATCTGGATAGTCGAGGGAGGCTCACCCCGCTTGGTGTAATCCTGCGGGTCTGGCAACTGGAAAAGGGCAAGCAACTCCTGGGCAGACGTCATCAGCCAAGAAGAGGTAAGACGCTCCAAATCTTCCACAGTGTTGACTGCGTCAGGATCAGGAAAGGCATCCCAGGAAGGCGGACAGTTTGAACACCCCACTGGCCGAATAACAGGGATGTGCGGCGGACGCCGAAAAACATGCACCAAATCAGAGTGAAGATTTCCACGAAGGGTGAGAGCGACAGGCTGATGCTTGGGGATCAGGGGGGTCTCCCAGACCTCACACTTAACAGCTGCCGAAAGCAAGGGGTGAACCACAAAGTAATCAATCAAAGACTGGGCACCCGCGGACTCATAGGTATGGCGATCTGGCGCGACAATGACCCCACCTATGAGCGTTAAGAAGTCCGTATTCTGCAAGTCCTTGGGGGACATATTCCAATCCCCTGATATAATAAAGGGGGTGGATATGGTCTTCATGACTGCTGCCACCTGCATCAGCAACTGGGCATTGCGATCCTCAGCGCCTTCCCCCGTGTGTAAGTAGACATTGGCCCAAGGGATACCTGGATCCACGACCCCATGCCATAGCTTTAGGATAAATCTCTCTGGGGGGGGCATGACAACAATCGGATCCAATACAACTTCAGAGAAGGACCTGGCATACTGCGAGACAAGGCCCACTCCTGAACTCAATCCACCTTTCTGAGTACTAATTGAGGGGTGGGGGTGCGCATGGAACCCATGCTTGTGAGCACGGTTGACTGCGAACTCGATAGCCTCTTCAGTACGACAGAGTTCTTGAAAACCGACAGCATCAAACCGATCAGAATAGGCCTCCAGGAAAATATCGGCATTGGACCAGGAGGTGACGTTCACAGTAACGATGACCCAGTCCCGACGAGGCTTCTGAACGAAGGCTGACTTGTCGGGCGGGGTCTGCGATGTGCTAAAGGTCAGACGGGCCCATGGGATTGGAGCCCTCCACCACAGCTGGGGTGTCGGCGGGGCCAGCGGTGGCGGCAGCCGACGGCGAAAACCTTCCTGACTGTCCCGACTGATCAACTGCAACATCAGGGGCATGAGCAGGACGTTTCGGCGCAGGCGGCAGTGAGGAAGAGGTACGGGGAGGAGCCCTGGCAACGCGTGTTGGGGAACGAACCCTTCGTAAGGAGTCCTAAAAGCGAAAGGCCCCGTATGAGAAATCCTCATTCACCCGTATGAGACATCCCCGTAAGGAGTCCTAAGCGAACGGCCCTGGCAAGGGCGGGCGGGTCTGCGCGCGCGCGCGCGCCCGTCACCGCCCTCTGCCCGCGGACTGCTCCGCGGCGACAGCGCAGAGCAGCTGCACTTCCGGACAGCAGCGACACGGCCCAGCTGGGCCCTCAGCCCGCAGCTGGCTGGGCCGCGGCCCCGTCGGCGCGGTCGCGCCCGAGGGAGGCCCGCAGCTGGCGCGCGGTGGCGCGGTGGAGCGCGACGCTGAGTTCCGAGGCCGCGCCCCAGCGACACGTCATCAATCTCCTCCTCCTCCTCCTCCTCCTCCTCCTCCTCTTCCTCCTCCTCCTCCTCCTCCTCCTCCTCCTCCTCCTCCTCTTTGCACTTGTCCTCTTAGCCATTTGCTTGCCTGATGCACGCGTGAAGCCTCGCGGCCCCCCTCCGGCAGACTGGAGGAAGCTGACAAGCAGAAGGACTCCGCATCCTGTGGTCCAGTGGTCTACCAACGACTGAGCGACTCCCTGCGGCCCGCTCGAGGGCAGGCGGCACGAGGAGGTGCTGGGCGTCCTCCCCCCTCCTCTCTGCTTTTCTCTTTGTCGAAGACTTGTGCTCCTCCCCATCCTCTGCCACGCCCTGATCGTTCGCAACCCTCCGTCGGAAGTATGATATCTCATGGGCCTCGGTGAGCGGGGCGCACACAAAAAAACAAGGACGATGACGAGAAGGAGGGGGAGGAGGAGGAGGAGACTAAGAATGATCAGTCAGCCACGACAGCACAAAAGGGCGTCAAGCCGGCGTTCTCTGGGAGGGTAGTAGGGAGGGGACCTCACAGCAACCCCTGAGACAGCATAGACCCCTCGGCCCTCGCGCTTTCGAGGGCGAGGAAGAGGTCATGGGGGCGCTGCACAGTGTTTTAAAACGTTGCTGGCCTCCATATGCCTCCCGAAGCCTCCGAGGAACTCCGGAGGCCGGCCAGCGCTCTTCAGGTCACGGAGGAGGTCTGGGAACGCCTCTGGCAATTGCTGGGCCCTTTGTGGGTCTCCCCTGGCGCCTCTGGAGACCTCTGGAGTCCCCTCGCGCTCCCGGACGTGGGGCATGACCTCGCTGGGCCTCCACAGCCTTCCAGAGGAATCCCCGGTGGCCTCCAGGGACATCCGCGGGGAGGGCAGCGGAAGAGGCCCGCAGGGCCTCGGAGGAGGAAGAGGAGGAGGAGCCAAGAGGAAGAGGAGGAGGAGCCAAGAGGAGGAGGAGGAGCCACGAGGAGGAGCCACGAGGAAAAGGAGGAGCCAGGAGGAGGGGGGCCGGAGATCGAGGTCTCCCTCTTGGGGCGCCCGGGGAGCTTCCCGCGGAGGCCACCCGGGGGGCCTCCGGGGGGCCTCTCGCGCCCCCGAGGGCGGCCAGCAGGCTCGAGGCACCTCCTGGGGCGACTCGGGGCGCTGCTGCCCCGCACCCCCCCCTCTGGGCCCGCGGAGGCCTCCAGGGGGGGGCGGGCCTCCTCGGAGGCGCCTCCGCGCTCCTGCCTCGACGGCGAGCGGCGGGGAGGAGGAACGACGGGCGACGGGTGGACACGGCGCCCAGGCCGACGGCTTCAGCGACGACTCGGACCAGAAGGAGGAGTCGACGACCTCAGCGACGACCTCAGCGACGACTCGGCCCCACGCCGACGACTCCAGCAGGAGTCGACGACTTCAGCGACGACTCGGACCCACGCCGACGACCTCAGCATCGACACAAATAGTCGCAGTCCTTGGATCGGCGCCGGGCCCCCCTCCCACGCGTCCAAGGCGCCAGGGGTGGCGCCGGAGGCGTCGCCAAAGGGGGGCGCAGCGCCAGTCTGTGGAAGCCGCGCGGACCTTCGCCAATCGAGGTCCGTGTGCAGCTGTCCCTTCGTCGGCCGACGACGAGCGACGAACGGCAGCGGCATCGGTGGCGGCGGAGCACGGCGCACGGCGCAAAGGCGGCGGCGCGCCACCTGAGGGGCGTCGCCGTCTTTCGCGGCGCGCCCCTCGGCGCCCATGGGCCGCGCAGGGGGGCCTTTTGCCCCCCGGGCAGCGCAGAGGGCCCCGCCCCAGGCTGCGTGTTCCGGATGGGGTGGGGGGCGAGGTGCGGCGGGGGCAGGCGCGGGGGCCAGCGTGAGGCAGGGCCGAGGACGGCAACAGAACGAGTCGCGCCATGATTTGTCCGTCACGATGCTCTCCTGGGCAGCCCGAAAGGACCTGCGCGGAGGCATCCCTGGGCAGTCCGAAGGTACCTGCAAGCACGCTTCGCTGAAGCGCCCGAAGCTACCTGCCAGGACACTTCCATGAGACGCCCAAAGGTACCTGCCAGAACGCTTCCCTGAGGCACCCGGAGGTATGGGTCCTCTCGAAAAAAATGAGTTGTGGCCATCGTTGTCCTATGGGTCCAGGAAGCTGCCCCCACCTCCACCTGTAAGAACCGACCGCCGCTAAGAAATCTGAACCCTGGTCGGTGCTTACAGGTGGGGGTGTCTTAACTTTTAGCGTTGTGGAAAAAGAACAAGCGGCACAACCACAAACCTTCCGAGGTCCGAAATGATTTCTCGGGTCGAAGCTGGATCCCACCAGTGCGGCACCTCCGGCGCCGACACTGGCGCGCTCCGCGCGCACCGGGGGGGGGTTCAACGCCGATCCAAGAAATCCGCGCGGGCATCCGACAATGTTTGCTCATGCCGATCTCTATCCTTGTAACTATCCCCCCCCTTCCCAAAGCTGCCAATGCGCCTGCCCACGCGCCGTCAACGAAGTCGGGAGATATATTGATTTCGACTCCACTTGGGCATCAGCCCCGCGACACCAACGAAGGACCCATGGGGGCCCATCCGGACGGCAAGAACTTCTGGGGCGCGCCCAGGAACCCAGAAAGTCCAGTTTCCGCAGATGGAAAAAACAAGTCCCTGGCGAGGGGTTCGAGAACGGTGGTTACCCCCGCCTCAAATTCCGGATGGGGAATGAATTCTCAACCGCGGGGGTGCCCGCGCGAGGGGTCCCATCCCACCCCAGCGCAACCAGAGGAGGAAAAGCGTGAGAATCCAGATTGTGAGTGCAATGCAGCAACACTCTAATAGTGGCTGCAGTGGGGAGTTGCGCTAGTAATAGGACATGTGTACTAAGGAGTTGTACTAATACTAGGGAATTGTGATAGGGACTTGCACTAGGGAGTTGTACTAGGGAGGTGTATGAATACTGCATGGACTAAGGAATTGCACCAGGATGTTTCACTCGCGAGTTGTACTATTGCATGATATCGCTAGGTTGCACTACGGAGTTGTACTATAATTTGTATTATTTAATCGCTTCGCTCATTCCGCCGGCCCTGGAGCGCTATTTGGGGCCTCTTGGGGCCGTCTTGGGGGTTTCTTGGGGGCTTCTTGGGGGCGTCTTGGGGCTCCTTGGCGGCGTATTGGGTTCCCCTGGGGCCTCTTGGGGGGCTCTTGGGGGCCCCTTGGGGCGGGAGGGGGGGTAGTCGATTGCAGCCCCCCCCTCGGAGGCCACGATCCTCGTGAGGGGTGGCGCAAAATAGCCCCCCCCCTGGGGATCGCCCGAGACCCTGCCGGGGATCAGCTGGGGAACTGTTCGTCCGGGGCCCCCCAGGGGCCGCCCCGCGCGCACGAACTAGACATACTGTTAAGTAGTTACCGGAGATCTTAGCACGCCTCTGGCCTGCTGGGCCGGCGAATTGCTAGGGAGTTGTACCTGGGAGTGGCACCAGGGACTTGTAGTAGCGAGTTGTACAAGAACTCGGGAATTGCATCAAAGACTTGCACTGGTACTTGTACCAGGGATTTGTACTAGGAAGTTGTACCAGGGAGTTGTATTAATACTAAAGAATTGTATTAAGGAGTTGTACTAGTGCGCACAGTTCTACCAGTTGAAATATGATACCAGTTGCACTCAAATACTTGAAAGAGCGTGATCCACCGCCGCTTTACTCTGGAAAATGCCCCCTCCTCTTCCTCCGGAACCCGGGAGTCTCCCTCCCCCCCCCTCCGAAAATCCCCCCCTGCTGGACCACTCCCCCCCGTTCCCCCCACCGGCAACCCCCCCCACACTCCCCTACCCCCCCCACCCCCGCTCCCCTCCGGAAAACCGAGGGGGGTCACTATACCGGTTGAGATCATTTTTTAATTCCGGCCGGTAACGCTCGTTACCCGGGGGGGGGGGGGGTCGTGCCCCCCGGGTAACGGTAACGCTTGGGCTGGGCGGGGTATGGCGAAGCAGGGGCGCTCTGCGATCGCCATAGTATGCGCGCGAGCAGCACTCTCTGCCTGAGAGCACCACAGTGGCTTGCGATTCGAGTACAAGCGCAAAGCCCGCCGCGTGGTCCCGGCACCACGCCCGCGCCCGCGCGCGCGACGACGATGATCGACGAGCGACGAGCGACGAGGTCGACGACGACGACGACGACGACGTTTGCCGCCTGTTTCGGCCTCCGGAGGCCGTTTTCGGGCGCCGTCGACGACGACGACGACGACGACGACGACGACGACGACGACGACGACGACGACGACGATTCGAGTACAAGCGCAAAGCCCGCAAGCACCAGCATCGCGCATGCGAGCGCCGCAATGGCCTGCGAGCGCCCACAGTGCGCCTGCGACCACCACACCACAGTGCGCATGCCTTCGGGCACCAGCATGTTGGAGGGGAAGACCGAGACCCCCCCCGCGTACGAGCGTTACCGTTACGGGGGGGGGGGGGGGGGAGAGGCCCGGGTAACGAGCGTTACCCCCCAGAGGATAAAAAAACAATCTCGTTCGAACCCCTCCCCCCCCCACCAGAACACCAGAGGGGGGTCACTACCAGTTCGAACCCCCCCTCCGCCCCCCCTCCAAAAAGAAAAAACCGGGAAGGGGGTCACTACTGGTTCGACCCCCCCCCCTCCGGAAAACCGGGGGGGTCCTACCGGTTCGAACCCCCCCTCCCTCCGGAAAACCGGGGGGGATCACTACAGGTTCAAGCCCCTCCCCCCCCCCCACGCTCACCGCCAGCAAACGACTCCCAGGGTCCCTACCACCGTCCGCACCATATCCCCCACCGCTGTCCCCAGCACCAACCACCTGTCCTCCACCACCGCCCCCGCTGTTCCCACCACCGTCCCCCACTGTCCCCACCACCCCCACCTTTGCCGCACTGTCCCCACTTCCCCCACCACCGTTCCCCCACGGTTCCCACTCTCCCCACTTTCTCCACGGCCCCAACCATTGTCCCACTGTCCCCACTGTCCCACTGTCCCACTGTCCCCGCCGCTGTCCCACTGAGCTGTCCCACTGTTCCCACCATTGTCCCTCCACTGTCCCACTGTTTCCACTACATTCCCACTGTCCCCACACCACTGTCCCCACCACCACCGTCCCCACCACCGTCCCACTGTTCCCACCATTGTCCCCGCTGTCCCCACCAGTGCCCCCACCAGTGTCTCACTGTCCCCACTCCCCCCACCATTGTCCCACCACAGTCCCACTCTCCCCACTTTCCCCACGGTCCCCACCACTGTCCCACTGTCCCCACTGCACCCACCACTGTCCCACTGTCCCCGCCGCTGTCCCACTGTGCTGTCCCACCGTCCCCACTTTCCCCATCACTGTCCCACTGTCCCCACTGTCCCCACCACTTTCCCCATTGCACTGCTGTCTCACCACTGTCCTCACTACCGCCTTCACCACTGTCCCCACCACTACCGTCCCCACCACTGTCCCACTGTCCCCACCACTGTCCCGCTGTCCCCTCACCACTGTCCCCACCACCACCGTCCACCACTGTCCGCACCACTGTCCCACTGTCCCCGCACCACTGTCCCCACCACCACCGTTCCCACCACTGTCCCAGCATCCCCACCATTGTCCAACTGTCCCGAAGAGCGGGAATCGTTTGCCGGCGGCGAAGGGGGGGGTTCGAACCGGTAGTGACCCCCCCCTTTTCATGATGGACTGGGGGGGGGGGAAGGGTTCGAACCAGTAGTGACCCCCCCCCGGTGGACGGATTGGGAACCCCCAGTGACCCCCCCCCGCTTTCCGCCAGCAGCGGTAGAACACGCTCTTTCCAATACTTGCACGGCAGGACAATGTGCTCTCTAAGAGCAACTGCGCGCTAGTACGTGTTAGTACGAGTCTTACTCAAATACTAGTTGTACGGTAGTCGGAAGGGTTCAGGGGTTCCAGTGGCTACTCGCGCGCGGAAGAAGGAAAGAAATCCACGCACCGCAAGGGGTCCCAGGTTTAACGGATCGCCGCGAAGGTTGACCTCCCGCGGAAAGAAGAAAAGAAATCCGGCCAGGGGGTTGGGGGGTTGAAGCATGAGTCGCGGGGCTGATACTCGGGCACTATACGCAAACAGGAAATTGCGCCTATCCCATCCCTCCAACCTCCTTGTCACCCCGAAGGTGGTCTATAATCACGAAGCAATGAATGCCACAGGGGTCGCAGAGACCGTTTCGTCGATGACCTGATCTATTGTCGAACGCAAACTTGACTCTGTGGCAGCACAAACAACGAGCCTGAATATGAGGCATGCCACGAAACACTCCACAAATGAAGGGCTGCTACATAGGTAATTCTCGAGCCGGGCAAAGGAAACCTTCCACGTTCTTAACGATCTCTCGCCAGACGGCGAACCTTTATGCCCTTCGACACCAGATTGACCATGTATCAGGCCGTCTCCCACTTCTACACAGAGAGGTTCCACGCGCTATTTCGAACCAAGCGCTTTAACTCCACTGCTGACGTGGCGCATTTGTGCAAAGTGCTACGCGCTGTCGCACATTGACCACATACCTCCGCTGAACAACATGCTGCTGAAGTCTCTCTACATCGTCTGGACGGGCTGCAAAGGAAGCAATACTTGAACACGTAAACGCAATGTGGGCTCATTGGAAATGAGGTGCTACATCGCTGTGGCTGGATTTCTCTACAAGGTGGCATGGGGAAGCCACCGGCATATCAGGCTTCTCTGTTTGAGCCTTTCGCAGGCCAGCCAGCGAGCAAGGATGCTTCAGTGGAATATCGTTTACATAGCAAGGCGCTGCATGAACATCTCCAACCTGGCCACCCTC